CACGGTGCGACCTGTCCCTCACTGTAGTTAAGTTCAGTTTTCCAGGATTACGTGGTTCGCGGTCTGACCCTTCTGCTTCATACGTCCCTGCTTCGTACGTACCTTCTGCGCCGCACCTCCTTCGTATTGATAACTTTTTTGCCCGATCGCGACCCGATACGATTTTTTGACATCCTGTTTGTCATGTCGCACGTCTTATCACTAAAAAATTGTTCTTAGTGCTCGTCAGTGTTCGTGTTTCACCTTCTATCTCCGAGTCAGTGTTGTATGTTTTTCCTTTGGCTTCTGAAATATTGTTGATATTATTTACCGAGACCGTAGAAGATTACTGTCGTTTTCAACCGTTGAACCAGATATAGATTCCTACCATCAGTCGGTAATTTAAGTTTCGTTATTTATTCTTGCAACTGACGGATTATGAATTTCACGATCTTCTTGACGTCAATTACAGACCATCCATCCGTAATTGCGGTATTCGATTTGGTGTCTCATCATTTTGCTCCATTTTGACAGTTTTGTGTATGCTGTCTCGACGGTCGTTTGTTTGCTGCCTTCCATCTTGATCTTTGTTTCGTATTTCAACATTTGTCTTGGCTTGTATCGGAATACGCGTTGAAACACGAACAAAAATAAATTCCTGTCCGTCTTTCTACTTGCTCAACTCAACTGGCATTGTTCCGTGCCTGACAAAATCGAGCCGAAGCTCTGCAATTTTGAGAACTATTCATTATTTTTATGGGTATTTGGGGACCCCTGGAACATTTTCAACATTTTCTCAAAAAACGAGTACAATTTTTTTCTTATAATTTCTTGTAAAAATAGAGTGAAATACACTTATAAATGTGGCATACGTCCGATTGTCACGGTGATCTCTAAATGTTCGAAACTATCAAAATTTTGAATTTTTTCGGGGTCTTCCTACAACTACAAAATTAAAGATTGAGATTTTTCCTTCAATTTAAATTTGTTGTCCACAATTTGTTCTTTCATTAAGGTTAGTTACTTTTTT